ACCCTAGGCTTCCTAACCCTAGCAAGCCATCCCATTTCCGTGACTTCCACCTCGCCTCTCAAACATCCCTCCGGCCGCACTCATCCGTCTTGGGTCGAGGCGAGAGGAGTGTCTCACGGAAGGGGATGGTCTTGCCAAGGGTCGGCCGGGCCGATCCGAGGGGGACCAACTCATGGGGGGGAAGTCTCGGCCTGGAGACGGCGATATATCGCCGACGGACCAGCGATCGGCCCCCGATACAGTCGGACCTAGGACAGAAGAGCATCCTCCAAGAACATAAGACCCTCCGCGGGCCAAAACCCACAGGACATAACCCACAGGACATCGCAGGGTGCCCGTCCGATGCTGCACAATGGCATCCAACAAACACGAAGAACACGAGGGTACATCCTCGAACTGACCTCGATCTTATACCTTGGTCCGGGGGTAACGAATCCGCGCACTCCTGGGCGCGGTGGGGCTACGGGCCCTCATCGGCGATCGATGGGCGATCGGATGGATGCCTCCCACCTGAGCCCATCGTGACAGTGCTCGGGGGTGTCGGCGCAGGCTGAGGCCAGGGGCCCCAGCTCGCCCTGTGACGGGCAATGTCCGTCTAACCTGACAGCGCCGCGCCTCCGTCGCCTCGGTCTCCGCTTTCGTGCCGGCCGGGCCGAAGGTGTGCGCGCTCCGCCACGGCGTGGCCCGCCTGCCTCCCACTGATTCGGGGTCGATGCCTTCGAGCGCACTTCATTCGGAGGTCCCCGAATCATGTCAGTGATGGCGACGGCGATGAGTCACGGCGGCGGCGCGAAGGTGATTGGATCTAATGTTTGGCTCGCTTCTGAAATATGCAATGTTATCACGGACGCACCTTAGAACATAGAAAGACCGTCGTGAACTCGATGTGGGATCCGTTGGCCCCACTGGGGGCACCGGCGTGTCCTGCTGCCTTACTGGCGCCTGGTGGCCTCTCTCTCGTCCTGTCTCCTGTCGCCTGTCTTTCGTCTCTCCGATTCTGTCTCCCTTCGGCTGTCTGCTCGGTGGGGCCCACGGCGTTCAAACACACCAGGGTGTGGTGCGTTCGGCTCCTTGCCCCCTTCTCTCGTTTGCCCTAGGATCCTGGCAGGAAAGACACCAGATGACCACGAGGGTCTAAAAAGACCCCCAAGACAGCCCCAAGAAGCCTCGGAAAGGGACCCGAAATGGTCCCGAAGGCAGCCCCAGAGTGCCCCATACTACACCGAGAAGGCTCCAAGACGCACCCGATAGAGCAAGCACCGGGGAAGACCCGAAGCGTCCGGTGTGCTCTGCTCGTCGCCACACGTTGCCCGTTTTGGTCCGACGATACCCTAAGACTGCTTCAAGACGGCCCCTTTTTTCTTCCTCCTAAATCGACTAAAAAAACACAAAGAAATAAGCCGGTCGGCGCGTCAGAACGCAACGAAGATGTCACGAAATTCGGCCCGCAAATGCGAGCGAAGGCTGACAAGGAGAACGAGGACGAGGAGGAGGAGAAGCGAGGGTGGGAAGAGGCGAATGGGGCAAGGGCGCTGTGCGGATAACCCCATGTGGCCCAAACAGCCACGTATATAATACAAAAGCGCACAGCGCAATGCAGAGGGGAAGAGGAAGGAGAGGAGGAAAGGAGGCAGGGGAAGAGGGGGAGGCTGACTGCTACGGACATGCCACAGATACGTATCATCTGGGCCCGCAGTGCTACCCTACGGCTGCCAAAGACAAGCCACGCTCCCAAGATGTCTCAAGACGGCCCAGCGTGGCCATAGGAATGCCTCTTTGTCTTGCCCCAACGTGGCCCCGCGATGACACAGCCTGGGCCTTCCGGTAGAGGGCGCAACCATGCGGAAATTTATGTGGGCGACTTCGAAAACTCTGAACCCAAAAACGAATTCATCTTTTGGGGGCGAATCTTTTACTTCCGCCGCCTTCCGCCGAGCTTCCGCCAGCTTCCGCCAGCGGAGGCGGCCTCGCTTTACTTCCGCCGACCTTCCGCCGCCCTTCCACTGCGGAAGAGATGGCAACTCCTTCGATCCTCGAAGGCGA